GATGGGAATATACTTTTTCAGTTGTTCAGAAAGATCTCTATAATTATTAGTTGAGCACACTGCCTTTAATGAAATTCCTCTTATCTGACATTCTACCTTACCCCTCCTCTATGTGACTGAAACTGTACTTGTACAATGCAGTGTTTGAGAATTAAAACATCTTAGTGTCTAATACAGGAAGGATGGCACCATGGCCACTGGAAGTCCCCCAGCAGCCTTCAGTAGGAGGGAACTGGCCTTGGAATTCTCTTCCAACTCCAGTAATTTCAGCTGGTTCCCTACCAGTCTTGCTAAGCTGTGCTATAACAGCTGTATGTGGGGAAGCGTTTCTCCTGGTTTCTCCCAGACCCACAATTCCCAAGGCTGTTTCTTTTTGCAGAAAGCCCAAAATATGGAGAGATGTGCAGTGTCCTTGCAGTGAAATGAGTGTTCTGAGGAACATAGCACACCTCCACTTGTCCTCTCACTTACTCTGTATTTCTGGGTACAAAAGCATGAACAGGAACGCCCATCGGAGGGTGGTGGATGTGGTCTGAGAACCAGCTGCAAGCAAGTCTGAGGTCACCATGGTAAGATTGCTTTTATTGAAACCATTCTCTTCAGCCTCCTTACCCTGCAGATAACAAACAAGTGTGTGACAGGAACAAAGACACTTTCTTGAGTGAGAAGACTTTCTTTCAGAGAAGTACCGAGAAGCAGTAGATCCATTTTTGCTGACCAGGAATTCATTGGCAGAGTAGAGCACAACGCAAGCTGTGGTCTGTGTGTGACTGATGTGCTTAAAGCATGCCGTTACCACTGTACTCCTAGATCTTGAGAGGTGAAAAAGTTATACCTGCTTTCATAGTGATTGCCTTGTGCTCTCAACTCAGCAGAATGCTGACACTTACTGTGGCATCCTCCCCCAGAAGGGATGGAACACTGCTATACAGTAGCATATCTAAAACATATCTGAAAACCCACACAGCAGAGAGGCGGCTGCACTGATATGGCAAATGCAAATCAGCAGTATTTTGAGAGGGCTATCTGTCTATCCATCACAGATTCTCAGTGCTTTGCCCTGGTATTTTGCTACAATTGCCAGGGCGGAGCGGGAGGGGAGGGATGGTGGGGGGGCTGGGAAAAGAAAGTATTAGGGTGTTATTGCTAGCTATTACATCTGCAATACCAATTCCTGCAAAACTGGTCTCTCATCAAAATACTAATTGAACTCAGATTTTCTAGCATGTGAGATCTAACAAGCTGTCTGCATGAGTTCATCTGCTTGTCTTTTCTAATCCCTTTTATACTTTTCTTTCTTAAGGACTAACATCTGCTAAGTTATTCTGCATATTTTGATGCTGTCTTACTATGGATAGCAATTAATGAGGCATCTCTGACTCAACTTTGATTCAAACAAAAAATCTCTGGCAAGGGAGCAGTGGAACTGGCCTGACCAAAGTTAGCATTGGCTAAGGGATTTTTCGCTCAGTCTTCATAGGGGACCTTAGGTGAGCAGTAGATAGATGTGACAAGAGGGAATTTGATCAGGCTCTGATCCACCCCGTATATGCCTGCAAAGTGATGCAGGGTGAAAAGAGAGCTGCCAGACACTGTGTAGACAGAAACAGCAGATTATATGATCTCTGAGGATAATCAAGGAGGGCACAGCATGGAGAGCTGAACACATCATTTCTCAAGTATGACATGGAATGAAGAGATAGGAAATTTGTAACAGTCTATAGAACTGTATATGTGAAGCCAGCTTCTATTAACAAGTTTAAAGAAGTAGAGGAATTGCCTCGGGACACTGAGATTCTGTTGATCTCTTCCTACCTTTGTCATTTCCTTTAAAAATGCATCAGTGAAGTCTCGGGTGTAAGCAGGGTTCCAGGTCTCCTTGTGCTTATCTATGAGCATTTCTGTGAAGTCGATGTATTCCTTTTGGCATCGAAAGATCTTCTGTGGCAGTCCAGGGATGCGCAACAAAATGGGTGCCACATGAAGAAGCTGGCAGGCCAGAACCATATAGAAAGAGACAAGGTGTTATGTGATCTGAAAATTAAAATAATGGAAACAGAGTGCTCTCAAGTGGCAGAGGTCAGTGTCTTACAGAACATAATATGCTTCTCTGTTACCTCAGGCAGGAGTCCAACTTCTTCATTCAGGGAGTTTTCGAACAAAGTTAACAGCTTCTTGAATGTCTCATCACCATACTCGAAACGCTCTCCATAGGTGATGATACAGATCAGATTGATGACTGCATTATTTACAAGAAGATGCAGATCAAAAGGCCGACCTACAAATGCAAATGGATATCAAGCAAAGAGGCAAAGCAACATCACGCTGTGGTACTTCAGCTTCCAACAACAAGAAGACACACATATCTCTTTGTTGTTTTCATGAAAAAATGCCCTCAAAATGCTGAAAGTGGAAATACATCATAGTAGGAAGAGAAGATGTTCTTATCTCCTACTATGGATTGCTGGACATTGTTAGAATAAGAAAGGTCCCAAAGAAAAGCCAAGTTACAGGGTTGTTCTGTCACACGAGAGATAGCACTTCTTGTGTCTAATTATAGTTGATTCGATGTAAAAGCTCTCAGATTAATTTTGCAGTATATGATAATATTGATATCATGAAACCACAGGCTGCTTCTCCTGGCAGCTTGTTTCAGTGCCTCACTACTCTCTGGGTAAAGATTTTCCTCCTCTCCCCTCTTTCACTTTAAACATTTCCCCCTAATCGTATCATTATCAAATCATG